CCTTGTGTAGCTTTGTGCATAATTAAAAAAAAAACAATACAAACAATACAAGATCTACTTAAATTGTTTGATAAACAAATAGAAATTGAAGCTCATCAAATCTGTAATTAACATTTTTAAAATCGAAATTTTCGAACGGTACACTTTAAAATCAAAAGGAAGCTAAGGAGTCCAGATAATCACAGCAGTCAGTGAAAATTTCGAGGGTTCTTTGGTAAAAATATAAGTGTAAGAAAGAAATAATCCACAATTAATGCAAGGGAAAACACTTAGGTGAAATATATTATTTTTGTTTAACTGGAAACAAGGATACTCACTCTAGAATGCCTTACTAACTCGAAACACAGTGCGTTTCGGAAACGATACTCACTCTAGAATGCCTTACTAACTCGAAACACAGTGCGTTTCCTCTCGCGTTAGAATGTAACCGACTTCGCAATGCACTGTTTTGTTTTTTCTCGTATTAAAATGTTGTATGATTTCGAAATACACCACGTTTTTTCTTGCTTTTAATAGTAATGAATAGTAGTTAGTCGAACGCTTAAACATCTATTGTTATTGAATAGCGTTAATATGTTTGTTTTGTTAGGCACAAAGCTGCCAAAAAGCCAACCCTTAGCTTCAGAGTTATAAGCGTCAAGTCTTCCGATGTCAATTAAACAATGTAATTTTTTTAAACATTGTGATTATCATCAACTGCTGGAATCGCTTGATTAATTAATATATATATATTAAATTCCACGTAAAAGTATGCTTAACGTTTGATTCAAATCGTATTTAACCTTATCACGACAGGTGCTGAATATTTCAGTGACACCAAACTAAATGCTTCTTTATGCGTGTCTCTACATCTCAGCCCTCTAGAAGGTTAAACAATGCATCCGATAGACTCTTTGAGCATCTAATAGACACTGAAGATTGTTCCCTGATAAATTGATGTGTCGCATTCAAGGATCGTACAAGGCCCATGAAACAAGCTGACTAGGGTAATTCACATAAACATTCGCACACATGAGATACGTTCTACTAATATTGAGTAATTATTAAGTGGGCCGCTAATTCCCTATTGGTGATCTTATAATTCGTTATATTCGTCATGGGGCTATGAAGTCATTTACCATAAAGCGTCGTATGCCGGTAATCTCCAGAACAACATAATCAGATGTTATCTAATTTGTCAATGTTTGCATGGCTGAAGTTCAAATTCTGCAGGTAATTAATATGGTGCTTGATTAAACATCCGATGTAGTTTTCGTTTGGTATTGTAGAGGTCATAGATATGTTTTAGGCTCAGGTGCAGTCATAGGATTTTAATCACTTTAGCAAGTAAAGGCGGGTGCTGTA